ATCCAATTTCCAATTTTCTGGACACACTGAGGACAGGGGAACATGTTAACAGGCACCATGAGGATACAATCAAACAAATCCTGCACAAGGAAAACGCTATCAAAGCCTAGTTTCTTCAAAATAAATTGCAAAGTAAAGAGAGCAAAGAAGGAGGGAACCTATAGGCAGTGGTATTCTGGTGAAGGTTTAACACCCAGCTCTGCAGGAAAAAAAATGTCATGCTCTCCCATATTAGTCAGCTCAGGCTTTCATGACAAAACACCAGAGACTGGGTGACTTAGGCACCAGCCATTCATTTCTCAGGTCTGGAGGCTGGGAAGCCCAAGATCAAGGCTGATTTAGCTCCTGGTGAGGACCATCTCTTTGGCTTGCACACAGCAGAGTTCTCTCTGTGTCTTCACATGGGAAGGAGAGAGAGAAAGAGAGAAAAGGCGCCCTGGTCTCTCTTCCTCTTCTTATAAGGACACAAATCCCATCATGGGGACCCCACCTTCATGATTTCATCTAAACCTTCATCTTCATAATCACCTCCCAAAGGCCCCACCTCTAAATACCATCACATTGAGAGTCAGGGTTTCAACACATGAATTGCGGGATGGAGGGAATATAAGCGTTCAATCCATAACACCTCCTGATATGATATAACACGATCCACTGGACCAACTATAAAGCATTCTTGTTCTCCCACACCACCATCAAAAAAAAAAAAAAATCCTAAATCTGATCAAATATTTACACCTAATCTCTAACACAGAAGAGAAACAGGCATAGAGGATCCAATAAATCTGATCTTTACACCTAATCTCTAACACAGAAGAGAAACAGGCATAGAGGATCCAATTATTTACACCACTGGGAAGCAGTCAGCCAAATCTAGAACCTGGGATTCTACAGGACAACGGGGCTTCTTCACCAAGTCAATGGCAGGGGGAAAAGCCTTCTTTTATTAGTTTTTTAAGAGTATTTATTTGTCTGGCTGCGCCGGGTCTTAGTTGCGGCACACAGGATCTTTAGTTGCAGCATGTGGTATCCAGTTCCCTGACCAGGGATCGAACCCAGGCCCCCGGCATTGGGAGTGCAGAGTCTGAACCACTGGACTACCAGGGAGGTCCCTGGAAATGCTTTCTTTTAGAGGAGAGGATTCTCCCACAATGAAAAAGACTAAAGAGACACAACAACCAATAAGTGGACAGGAAGTTGAAGGTCAAAGAGCAGCGAAGATGGCTGGGCCGTGGGGAACCTTCCCCCTGCCACGACTTGCCAGAGCAGAGAATTCTAAAGCGTCTAAGAACTCCTCATTTGAACTTGGCTTTCCAGGTCACTGTGAAGGTATTACTCATCAAGGTTAGAGGATAGGACCTACTTATTTAACCATCCGTTAGCTTGATTCATAACCTGTAGATATTCAGCCATGTAGTATGTGGTCTCTCTTTGTTCTCATGCCTCGGGTCCTGTACAGAAGGAATAGGTCTATGGAATGCGCGCCACTCTTCAGGGCAGAAGCACAAAGCAGCTCTGTCCCTCATCCCCTGTCCCACGAACCCGCCCTCTGGGTGTATCCATTCCTTCCTCTGCTTAAAATCCAGGCAGGTCCCACCACTCTTCTGGTTCCTCTTAGAAGAACATTCCCACTCCAAGAATATTAACTTTTATCCAAATTAAAACCTCTCCATCAACAGCTGGGAGATGTGCACCCAAGATGGGGTGCGGGGCCCCCTTTCTGGTTCTCACTTCCTCGTGCCCGGATGACTCGCTGCTATGTTGGACCCTTTAGGGTTGGATACAGATATGAGGAGCAGACAACAGACAAGACTTCTCATCACCATCTGTGAAAGGGAGGGAGGGAATGATCGGGGGAGGGAGGCGGGGAGAAAAGTGAGATATACATCCATTAAAGGGTTTCACCGATGTGTTATCCTTATACTGGGAAGTTCTTCTCGGAAGAAGGGCTGGGCAGCTGAGAGGCTCCATCCTTGTGCAACCCTGCTGGTCAATTAACGTTACACTTCCCTTTAGCTTTTATTTGGCATCCGAACAGCACTGTGGATGACAAAAGTCATGAGTGGCCCAAACACAGGGCTGCAAGATTCTACTGGAAACAGGCCTCTAAGGAATTGGGGTCCTCTTCTTTTTGCCAAAATAGCTTCATCAGAGGGGCCCACCCTGGGCTTGTGATGGAGGTGACCAGAGCAGAGCATCCCTGGGCAAAGCAAGATGCCCCCAGCACGTGTTAGACACAGACACCCAGCCGAGGAAGGTAGGTACAGGTACACACACACACACACACACACACACACACACACACACAGAAAGGAGGACACAAACTGCCGACAGGAGCAATAACCATGAAATAAGACTATTTGTCAAGAAACAGCCCTACAGCCCCGCCCATCAGCTGAAACCAAGCCACTGTAAACACAGGTATGGAGCCAAGCAGAGGCCAAAGCTGTGAAGAGCCCTGTGCCAAACGCCGTCCCCAAGGCTTCTGCTTCTGGATCGAATAACACACAAGAACATGTGACACCAGGCCAGCTCCAGCCCATAACTTGCCCGGACCCGAATCAGGTGCCTGCAGTGCCCACGCAGGGCTTTGCATGGAAGAGCTCAGTTACAGTCCGGAACACCCATCTCAAGCATCTGGAACCCGCCCGAAGTCCTTAACACCCCCCCAATATCCTATTCAGAAATCCATTTTCCACAAATTCATCCAGATCCTCCCTGAACCTAATTATACCTTCTCCCTGCTCCCAGCCTGGTAGAAAGAGTTCTGGAAGATTACATTTGTTTGGGCCTCTTTTTATTTGTGCTAAAACTATCCTTTCCAAGTGTCTCTGGAGTCCCCAAGTTCCAGCCCACCGAACACCAGAACCCCCGTCCCCATTCACTGGCTCCCTTCATGGACTTCCCATCTGGCCCCTCTCTGCATGCAGAGTCCAGGCTGCAGGAGCCTCCCCGCCCCCCACTCCCAGCCCCCAACACACACACACTTTTGAATTACAAAAGTAATACATGAATGTACCCTCCTTGTAAAACATGCAAACAAGACACAAGCAGAAAGAGGGGAAAAAATGGGAGTCCTCTTTCACTCTCCCCTAGTCCAGCCCCAGGTCTCTCCCTATAGGTAACTGCCAAAAATGGTTTCCTACCAACTTTTTTTCTGGATATATATATACAGGTAGATAGATAGATAGATAGATAGATATAGATCGAATTTTTTTCATAAGTGAGATCATGCTATACATATCATTCTGAGATTTGAGATGCTTAGTTTTTAAAATATGCTCCTGTGGAAGCGTGCAGAGTCCACACTACTGTGGGTGTTTGGGGAGTAATACTAATAGGAGCCTTGGAGAAGTCCTTCCAAACAAAATGAAGGAAATAAAATTGCACATGCAAAATTTTTCTGAAGCACTTTCTGAAGCTCGTCTGAGAACCGCCTTATCCAGCCATTAAGTGTACCTCTCTTCTCAACACAAAATATCCCTGTCTGCTTGATACAAGACGTTGCCAGAATTCATCTTGGTAGCCCTCCCTGGCTTGGTAAACACCATGGAGGACAGAAGAACTGGGACCTTTATGGAGCAAGGTTTATGGACCTTGCTCCATAAACGATAAGCAGAGTGGTGCCATAGAAAGCACAGGATTTGGAAAAAGAAGACAAGAGGTGAGCCCTGAGTTGCCACCAAATCTGGGGACCTCTCTCTGAGCCTCAGTTTCCTCCGTTAAAGGAAAGATAATACTCTAATAGCTAACCCTGGGGTGGTGTTAGGATCAAAAGAGATGGATGATACCAATGCATGTTGTGTGTTCTAGAAGTCTGTTACAGCCGTGTGAGTCGTAATTACTATTAAATGGGAAAAGCTAAATTCGAATGAGTTACGCAGACAGGGATCTGGCAACTTTTACTTGAGTACTTAACGCGTTTTCTGGGGGAATTCAACCACGGATTGAGAAGTTGCTGCCCTAACCGTCCTGGGGTGGCCAGGGCGCCACCTGCCGGCGGAGGAGGAGGCCGCGGGTGGGTCCGGGCACCGCGGGCTCCGTGACCCTGCTCCCTCTCCGACCCCACCACGGACTCACGCGATCGGAGCCGGCACCACGTTCCCAGGTGGCTGGGGAGCCGCAGCCGAGGCTCCTCCGCGGGCCCAGCCCCAAAGACCGGACGGAATCGCCCCTCCGGTGTCCCTGGCGGCCGGCGTGAGAGTAGGGGGCCCGGATGCAAGGCCTTGGCATCGCGGGAACCTGCTCCCCAGCACAAAGCCCCGGCCGCGCAGGTGAGCTCGGCGGAGCCACGTGAGCCGGTAAACGTCCAGGAACT